ACTCTAAAGCATTTAAATTCTTTTAAATTCAGTTACCGTTACTACATGGTGCGTTACTCCGTTACTGCGTTAGTTTTTTTATATAGTCAACAGCCAGGCGAACAGAGATGAGAACTGTACTTAAGTACAGTACTTGAGTAAATGTACTTCGATACTTCCTGTGTCACATGCGGAGACGGGCTGTGGGCGTGTTTGTGTTGTTTACTAACAAGACTGTCATGGCGGCGGCGGAGCTCAAGTCTAGTTTCTCCACCTGGAGATATTCTCACTATTTCACTTTTGTCGAGCACAAAGAAAAGAACGTTTTAGTTAAATGTAAGTTGTGTCTTGGCGGGTCAAAGATCCTATCTACTGCCCAAACCAGTAATTCAAATCTCTTAAAACATCTGCAAAAACAACATGCTACGAAGCTAGTAGCTAAGACCACAGAGACTCAGCCGACGCCACTCCACCTCCACCTAAGCAACAGCGGCTGGATTTTAACCAAGGGACTGCTAGCCAGGGAAAAGTCGATAAAGCCATTGCACGGTATGTTGTAGAACACATGCAGGCTATTGCTACAGTGGAGTCACCCGCTTTCAGGGAGCTAGTTAGCATGATAGCATGTCCGGGCGGCACACGGCATATGGGACGGAACACTTTTTCCAACTACCTGGAGAAAGAATATACAAAATGGAAAGCCAGCTAATATCGATGCAATCCAGATTGCATATAATGCATGTCAAGTTGATCAACAGATTGTATTATTCTCCAATGCAATAACAGTACTGAAATGAAGGCTATAAGGGCATTAATGGGAGCCCTTGTTTCAACTAACTAAAACGTTACTTTTCACAGTAACGCATTACTTTTGGGTGTAAGTAACTAGTAAAGTAACTGAGTTACTTTTGACATGAAGTAACTAGTAATGGTAACTAGTTACTGGTTTTCAGTAACTAGCACAACACTGGTTATTATCAGAAGTTACTGTAAAGGTTTGAATAATGTAGTTCATCTACTTTTAGTAGTTTGTTTAAATGTTTTAATTATGTTGTTTTTGTTTGTAGAAGTGCATCATTCCTTGATTTATTGTAAAATGAATCTGAACTTTTTGATCTGTCATGATGATAAACTGAAGCAATTTCTAAATGAACCCAATTAACTGAGTTTTAAATCGTCCTACTTAGGTTATAAGGAAATGATGAAGAGGAACAAATTAAATGATTTGAAAATGATATCTATGTAGGTGCTGACGCTGTTGGCGGTTCTAGTGTTAACAGAAATGTAAATTAAATATGTCTAATGGCAAATGCCATATATGATTTTCTTACCTGGAATTATGCCTTTTTGAACAGACTTTTTGAGTCCTAGCTATATTGTCTGCAGTTCTAGGGTTAATATGAATCTAATATGATTGTCATCGGTCTAAATTAGGTTTCAAATGATTAACTGTGTATGTAATGAAGATCATAGTGTGGGTTCAATCCATTTTCATAACCACTGTCTTTTAACTGTTTTCAATTCATCAGAATTTCGTATGACTTGACTTGACTTGCTTGACCTGAGCAATGACTTGACTTGACTTGCTTGACTCTCACCACAGTGACTTGGGACTTGCTTGATACTTGTAGGTCAAGACTTGAGACTTGCTCATGACTTGCACATGTAGGACTTACTCCCACCTCTGATTCCTACACTCTGGTACTTTTACTCAAGTACAAGATCTGAACTTCTCCCACCTCTGGCAATAAATCCTGAGTGGTTACCAAAATAAAAACCCTGCTCTGAAGGTTATTTTCATTTTACAAATCCTGCACTCAGCTTTGCTTTCTCCAATATCATTGAAATGCAGCCAGTTGCTGCTTCTTTTTTCGGTTTTCGCAAATTTCTTGACTTTTTCCGACGCGCTTGCATTTAAATCCGGCTCCCCGTCTCCCTGTCGCTCTGTAGCTGGCCTGTACCACTACACCTGCTGTCTTTGGAGCGTCTGCCCCCCACCCTTCTTTCACATAATGGTATGATCCTAGTCCTCACATATGATTGGCCGCATGGTGGCTCAGCAAAATAAAGACCCTTCCCTGCCTGCATGGATTCACAGCAAGAGTTGCAGCGGCTGAAGATGCTGCTCTCCCCGACGAGAGTCTGCTCTTCTCGCGGCATCTCGCGATCGGCGTGTTGGAGACCCCTGAACTAAATTAGCAAGGCAGCTCAAGTCAGAAGGCTCAAGTCCAAGTCAAGTCCCGAGTCATTGGTGTTCAAGTCCAAGTCGAGTCGCAAGTGTTTTGTGATTTTGTCAAGTCGAGTCCAAAGTCATCAAATTGGTGACTCGAGTCCAAGTCATGTGACTCGAGTCCACATCTCTGGTTAATAGATTGTTTAATGTTACACTTCACACAAGCCAAACTTGTTTGCAGTTAATGTCTATATTTTGCCGTGTGTAACTGTAGTTTATATAATGTGCAGCGCTTCAAACAGTGGTTGTGAGCTTTCTAAAGTTTAGCTATGCTAACCTAACATGTGGTTGTTTTCTTCCACTGAAGGTGTTGAGTTAGAAAGCTGATGAAGCCATTTCCTGCTTTAATTATATTCTGTTTTGCACAGGTATGTGGGTATTCTTTTTGTGTTTTGTAACTGTAAATTGTATTGTTTGTTTTGCAAGGGTAAATTAATGGTTATATTTTTATATTTTAATTTACAAAGAAAAACCGAATTTGCCACCATGGATAAATGTATATCTGTTAAAAGAACATGTTAATTGTATTATTTAGAACTCTGGCGCTACTTTCCTCAGTTAGCTTCAGGCCCAACTGAGGAGAAGTATTAAAGGTCCATGTCATGCTTTTCCGGTTATTACCCATCCCCTTGTGTGTTATGAAGGTTTTTCTGCATGTAAACGATCTGCAGAGTCACAAACCCTCAAAGTACACCCTGTAGCGAGTAAAACTCTAACACAGAAAATACCTCCCCAAAACGCCTCGTTGGAGATTTCTCATGTTCCATTGTTTACTTCCTGGGTATCGCTACGTCGGGATACCCAGTAGCCACGCCCAGAGCTATGGCCGCACCCTCTGCCAGCCTTTCACGAAACAAAGCTTCCCAAACCTTTCAGCGATTCATGCCGGATATGCACAGCGTAGGGCACTGAAGAACGATGCTGTTCCTACTTGGTTTGGACCAGCGGGAGATTCGGGTACACAACCTGTAAGTATTCATTGTTGTTTGTGTATTTATGATGTTTAAAATAAACACGGTATGTGTAACGACTGTGTAAATGGATAAACGTTGTTCGGGCTGCTAAGCCATTGACACAGTGCTAACTGGGCTAACTAAGTTGCTAGCGTTTCCATATAGAAACTCCAATGTTGGCAGATGGCCTTACATGTATCTCATAGCTGGAAAATGTCTGCAATCACACACAAAATACTCATAGACAGTATACTCCGGGTTATTTACCGTACGGTCAGTCGCGAAACTTAATTACATTATAGTTGGCGTTCCTAGCATGTATGCTACGGAGCTAAACAAGAAGGCTACCAAGAGCTTGAGATGCTAGGGAAAACATTGTTTTCATGCCAGCTAAAAAGAATGACCGAAACGTAGCAGACATACCCGTATAAGATTGCAATTCTAAACATGTTCTTGCTAGCCTAATATGAACCACTAGCTTTTGTTCATAGTACAGTAGGTTGGCATATTACACTGAACAAGCCATTGACTCAGTGCTAACTGGGCTAACAAAGTAGCTAGCGTTTCCATATATCAACTACAATGTCAGCAGATGGCCTTACATGTTTCTCATAGCAGGAGAAAGTCTGACCCTCCTTCCACCCACACACTAACCTCCTTTTCCCCTCTCTCTCCAAGTGAGGTTCTTACCCTCATTACCTCTGCCCGCCCTACCACCTGTCCTCTGGACCCTATCCCTTCAAGAGTAAACCCTCTCCTAAAGAAACCCACTCTCAACCCGTCTGATGTTATAAACTACAGGCCTGTCTCTCTACTCCCGTTCCTGTCTAAAACACTTGAACGCGCTGTCTTTAAACAACTCTCCTGTTATCTCCATCAGAACAACCTTCTGGATCCGCACCAGTCTGGTTTCAAGGCAGGTCACTCCACAGAAACTGCTCTCATTGCTGTCACGGAGGAACTGCACACTGCCAAAGCAGCATCCCTCTCCTCTGTCATCATCCTGTTGGACCTGTCTGCTGCATTCGACACAGTGAATCATCAGATCCTCCTTCGCACTCTCCAAAAACTTGGAGTTTCAGGCTCAGCACTTTCCCTCCTCACCTCATACCTCAAAGACCGTACCTACAGGGTAACTTGGAGAGGGTCCGAGTCCGACCCTTGTCAATTAACTACAGGTGTCCCTCAGGGCTCTGTTCTTGATCCCCTCCTCTTCTCCCTGTACACAAACTCGCTCGGATCAGTCATTAGCCCGCATGGTTTTTCATACCACTGCTACGCTGACGACACCCAATTAATTCTGTCCTTTCCCTGCTCAGAGACCCAGGTCGTCGCACGCATCTCTGCTTGTCTAGCTGACATCTCTCAGTGGATGTCTGCTCACCACCTCAAGCTCAACCTTGACAAGACTGAGCTGCTCTTCCTTCCGGGAAAAGATTGTCCCACTCTTGACCTGACAATCAACATCGGCACCTCAGTTGTTTCCCCGACTCAGACTGCAAGGAATCTGGGTGTGACCCTAGATAACAAACTGTCCTTCACTGCAAACATCGCTGCTACAACCCGTTGCTGCAGATACACGCTTTACAACATCAGGAAGATACGTCCCCAGCTGACCCAGAAAGCAACGCAGGTTCTGGTCCAGGCTCTCGTCATCTCACGCCTAGACTACTGCAACTCCCTCCTGGCTGGTCTACCTGCATGTGCCATCCGACCTCTGCAGCTCATCCAGAATGCAGCGGCTCGTCTGGTCTTCAACCTTCCTAAATTCTCCCACACCACTCCGCTCCTCCGCTCCCTTCACTGGCTTCCGATAACTGCTAGAATCCACTTCAAGACACTGGTACTTGCGTACCATGCTGCGAATGGATCTGGCCCTTCGTACATCCAGGACATGGTTAAACCGTACACCCCAGCGCGTGCACTACGCTCTGCATCAGCCAAACAGCTCGCTGCACCCGCACTGCGAGGGGGACCCAAGTTCCCATCAGCAAAAACACGTGGGTTTGCTATCCTGGCTCCAAAATGGTGGAATGAGCTCCCCATTGAAATCAGGACAGCAGATAGCTTACACACCTTCCGGGGAGACTGAAAACTCATCTCTTTCGACTCCACTTTGAGCGATAGAATTACTAACAAAGCACTTATATACTAATAAAGGGCTGGCTTACCTAAAGCCAGTTGAGTAGCACTTGAAATGTTTGGCTCTATGAAACCTGATGTACTTATATAATTCTGTTTTCTTCAAGGTTGTATTTTGTTGGTCGAACGCACTTATTGTAAGTCGCTTTGGATAAAAGCGTCAGCTAAATGCAATGTAATGAAAAAAAGACGTTAGGCTGTTTTGAGATTGACAAGAAATGAAAACAAACATCCCAGATAGTCTAAATGTAACAGTTGTAAATATGCAGTGGTGTTTAGTGTTAAATATTTATTTATAAATCATTTAGTAGAATCACACAAATTATGTGTTTTGTATTTAATACTGCTGTGTTCTTTATTTATTAAACGTTGGTGGGCTGAACCTCCAAAATTCAGTCACTGTACACAGAAGATTATTGTTGTGGGGACTTCCCCCCCCTACATATCGTGTCCCTCACATTTTCCTCTTCCATTATTTGTAATGTTCCACATGAGAAGAGTTGGTGAGAGGGAAGAAAACAATTTAATAACACTGATTTTCTTTTATATTGTCAGGTACGTTCTACGTTTCCTCTTCCCTTTTTGTGAATGTGTTTCACGTGAGAGCAGTCATTGTGAGGGATGACTAATTTAATACTGATGTGTTGTATATAGTCAGTGACTAAACGGAGATCGCCTCGACTGTATGCTGGCTCGGGTCTCATCCATCAACAACATCAACACAACGCAGACACCGCTAATCGACACCGGTTACATACATTCACTTTGAGGAGGAGGCATCATACTTAACACAGGAAGCAGTTGCAGCATCTCTCAGCTAAAGCATTGTTTCAGGAACATTTCATCAGAACAAGAGATAGAGGAAGCCGAGAGACGGAGAATCACGATGGATGAGTTCAAACGGATTAAAATGTCTTTATTTCTCGTTCTGCTGCTTCAGTTTACAGGTAAGCATTCCTACAACATGTACTGTATATGATATTTAGAAACACAATGAATGTTACTTTATTACCTAACCTCCTTTTAACAAAGACAGAGAAGTGGTGTGTTTGTCTTCCAACGAGGGGAAGGCAACTTTAGAACACATTGGGAAACTTTTGTTGTGTCGTAAATGAACATTTGTATTCCTCTGTATTCTTTATATTTCTCTCTTGTTTATTCAGGGGCTGAAATTGGACAGCATCTCCTCATCCTCTCGGTCAGAGCTGGAGATGAAGCCACTTTGCAGTGCAACTATGTGATCCATGATCAGGATGAATGTGATGGTACTTCATGGCTCTCCAGTGATTCAGTAATTCTGGTTGGACGTGGGCAGATTGGTAACCATGCTAAATCAGACAGACTGAGAGTTACAGAGAAATGTTCTCTGGTTATAAAGAAGGTCACAGAGGAGGATGCTGGTCGTTACACCTGCAGACAGTTCAGATCAGGACCAGAACAAGAAGATTCAGTCTCTCAGGTTCTTCTGTTTGTTGATACCAGTGAGTATTCAAATCATAATGTTTCCAAACTCTATGGTTAGACGTATACACTGATTACAATGAAACATTACAATAATTATGATTACAGTGATGATGTTTTTTGTACTGTTGATGTCTTTCTCTCACATACCTCCATCTTCAGTGACTGAACATCAGGACAATGATGAGGTGACGTAACACTGCTCTGTGAAGACATATAGAGGGTGTATACTCACAATGAAGTGGCTGCTTCCGGGTCAAGATGTGGATAAAGATCACAGATATACAAAGACATCACAGTCTTCCTGCTCTGCCTCTGTGACTTTTCTGAGTTCTCTCTTTAGTTGCACATCAAGGTTTAAGTTTTTCACTTGCGAAGTAACTGAATCCAGAACAGGAGAAGTGCAGGTGTTTCCCGTCAGGCCTCAGTCCTCAGATGAGAACATGTTGAGCCATTCAAAGTGACTTAATTAACTCATATATTTTTACTTATTTAACGATTTTAAGTTTTATTATTCCATCACAATATAAATTACCCATAAGACAGTTTGCAAGTTAAACATTTGTTGATCTTTGTTCATCTGTTCAGGTGAGGACACAGCAGCAGCAGCAACAACAACAACAACAACAACAACAGAGAGCGACTCCAGATCAGGTTTCCCTACGACAGCTTCTGTGATCACTGAAGATTCTACAGGTTGTTCTTTGTTTTCTTATGGAAATTAGTTTAACTAACTCACTTTTATAACAACACTCGTCTGACATTAAAGTAAATGATTATTGATTTATATATTTATATATGAATATTGATTAATCAAATACTTTTAATTGGTTTGTCTTAAGCTGCCTTTTCAAAATGAGGAAATACATTTCCACGAGAAATAACATCACATCTTTGCACTGATTTGCGTTCAACGTGATTACATTTAGATAACGTTCAGCCTTCAGTCCTCAGATGAGAACATGTTGAGCCATTCAAAGTGACTTATTTAACTCATATATTTTTACTTATTCAATGATTTGAAGTTTTATTATTACATCACAATATAAATTACCCATAAGACAGTTTTCAATGGAAACATTTGTTGATCTTTGTTCATCTGTTCAGGTGAGGACACAGCAACAACAACAACAACAACAACAGAGAGCGACTCCAGATCAGGTTTCACTACGACAGCTTCTGTGATCACTGAAGATGCTACAGGTTGTTCTTTGTTTTCTTTATGGAAATTAGTTTAATTAACTCACTTTTATAACAACCCTAGTCTTAAATTAAAGTAAATGATTATTGATTTATATATTTATATATGAATATTGATTGATTACAAATCTTTCTCTTCAAAGACTTTTAATTGGTTTGTTTTAAGCTGCTTTTTTAAAATGAGGAAATACATTTTCACGAGAAATAACATCACATCTTTGCACTGATTTGCATTCAACGTGATTACATTTAGATAACGTTCAGCCTTCATTCCTCTGGGGAGAACATGTTTATCTACTAAAGATTTGTTGAGTTTTGTTAATCCGTTACACAAACACCTGAAAAACTGAATCATCACCAAAAAGTACTTTTTTATTAAGCTCTAAATGTTATGATTTGAATTCCTCTTCCAGGTTGGTGGTGGTGGATCATCGTTGTGATCGTGGCTGTTGCAGCACTCACAATAATCACTGTGGCTGTCAGCAGACGGAAGAGGACTCAAGGTGAGGACATTCACACATTATACTTTATGAACAACAAGCTTTTGATGAACCTGGATTTTAACTGTGGAAGATTACATTGATGCTCTTTTGCCTCTTCAGGACAGAAACCTCAGACGGATGAAAACATTGTAAGTTTTATGGATAAGAAGACAAACGTGTTGACAGTAAACAGTTGAATCAGATCAAACTTAAATAGAAAGAGATGAGGGAGACGGGGAGAGAGGATGAAGGGAGAAGTTTTCAAAGAATTGAGGGGTGGTTGAAGGGATGTAGGTATAGTGAGGTCTAAAAGGATGAAGGGACAAAGGGAATTAGGGATGAAAGGTTTAAAGGGATGAAGGGATTTAGGGAAAGATGGATACAGGGAGGAAGGGATGAATGTATGAAGGGATGTAGGGAAGGAGGGATGAAGAATCTAAGAGATGTATAAAGGGATGAAGGGTTGAAGGGATGTCAGGAAGGAGGAATATAGTGATAGACGGATTAATGGAAAAAGGGAAGTGGGCAATAAAGGGTGAAGCGTTCAAGGGTTTTTGGGAGGAAGGGATGAACTGATGGTGCGTTCAGGGTCTGCTGACTAAACTGTGAACTGTGTTTACTTCCTTTGTAACCAATTCAGTGTTGTTGTTGTTTTCCTCAGGTGCGTTATGGTGTAGATGATGGTACAGTGAACTATGAAAACATCAGACCTCCTGATGGAGTTTGAGCAACACTTCTGCCTCCATCAGACTCCACTGATCAACAACGTCTACATCTATCATCAGGAGTGGAAGATTATACACTCATTCTGAATGACATATTATTTCATTTTAGTCTTGATCTAATAAACCACTGGATGTCACTGTAAACAGCTTTTAACTCTTGTTTCCTTCCTTATATTGTCTTCCAGCTGAAGGTTCAGAGCTGATTTCAAGATGTACTGATTGTTTTTGAACGACAGCTTGAGCTCATTTTAACATCTCTGTGTTCAGAATTATTACTTTAATCCACTTTCATTGAGCTTTGCTTTGTGTTTTGATGTCCATTTGATTGAATGGATTTTCAGTAGGGATGCCCGATAATTATCGGCCCGATATTAGGAATTATGACGTCATCCCGATAAACCCGATACCAGTATTAATAGCCCCGATAATATACAATATATTTTTTGGGTAAAAAAAAGAAAGAATACTGCGGTGTGGGTGGATTGGGATGAGGGGCGCTTGTTTTTCACTCGGCTCCTCCCGTTTTGCCAGTACTGTGGTATTAGTGGTTTAAGAAGAGGGGAGTTCTTCACAAATCCAGCGCTCCCTAACTCATGCCTGGCTGTGACGTAAATGGTGTGCGGCCGTGAAGCCAGGACAGTAAACAAACATGTCGTCGGTGGTATGGGCGTTGGAGCTATGTGCAACTCAAGGCATATGCTCGAACCGGAGCTGCCTTGACGCTGCAATCATGTTGCGCACTATCCGTGCTGAGTATGCTGACTTCTCGTACAATGTCCCACTGTCTGGCTTCCTGCATAAAGTCAAGTGCTCGGCGCAGTTGTGGCGAAATGTCGCTCCTCTGTTTTCATTTAAACAGCTCCTTATATCCGTTAGCTCAGCTAGCTAGCACCAGATGCTAACAACAACAATGCACGTAAGGTCTCTCTCTCGCTCGCTCGGGCCACACATACACACACCCTCCCGGTCCTCCAGATGGCCAGTCGGTGAGCGTGGAAGTGTGGTCTGCCACAAGCGGGCGGCAGGAGCGGGGCTGTCAGCATCAGCTTGTAGATGGTATTTTAAACTCGATGCGCTCTGAAACTACGGGGCGGCCGAGGACAAACAATACACATGCGTTAATCGCGTTAAAATAATTAGTTGCGTAATTGTTTTTGTATTATCGGTATCGGTTTCAAAAAACCAATATCGTGCATCCCTAATTTTCAGCCTTAATGTAGAAAGTAAGTTTTGTCTTTGTTATATCTGTTGACATTAGAATCTGAAAATAAAAAAAGAACCAACAATTGTGTTTGACTATTTTTGAAAATAGTCTAAAGTCACTTTGAGAAGTTGACATCACACTTATGAGAGGAAGTAGACGCATCACTTCTCAGCTAACTCACTATTTCATCAACTTTTCATCAGAACAAGAGATAGAGGAAGCAGAGAGAAGCTTCTATTATCTTCCAGCTGAAAGTCTCAGAGCTTTTTGAAGATGTACTGATTGCTATTAGAGCTAAAGCAGCTTGAGCTCATTTGAATATATATGTGTATAAAAACATTATTTTAATCCACTTTCATTTAGCTTAGCTGTTAACATGTGTTTTGATGTCCATGTGATTGAACGGGTTTTCAGCCTTAATGTAGAAAGTACAATTTATCTTTGTTATTCCTGATGCAACAATACAATCTGCACATAAATACATGTTAATCTTAATTCTACACTGTGTTCTGTGGTTCCTACTAACAGTGTCTTTATCATGACGTTGCTCTTTGTACTTCCTGTTTTATTTTGTAAAAACACTGTCCTTTTGTCATCTCTGATGTCACTTCCTGTCTTTGTGTTTTCCCGCCTTTTTGTGAATGTTGGATATTTAATCTACAGCAATGCATCATATTATATACAATCATCATGTTAGCTTTGTCCTTTGACAACCATGTACTGTATCTCTAAACAGTCAAGTTTTCATGAGTTTAAAACAAAGACGAATCACCAATAAGGAGATACGTGGTTTCCACTGGACAGGAAGGAGATGTGATTTATAATCTGGAAGTGAATTACTATTACCTTTTAATGTTGTCCATCCATCCATCCTTCTTCTCCGGCTTATCCGTGGTCGGGTCGCTTTAATGTTGTAATTTACAAAATATTCTTGTTATCATTGCTCCGCTGGTAAAAAACAAACGATATAGTTGCTTGAAATGTGCTTATATGGTTGTGTTTTTTATATGAATGTTATTAAAGTAAACCCACAGGAAGTGACATGCGCTCATCCTGACTGAGTCTCTGCTGAGAGGAGAATTAACAAAAAAAGTAGAAGAGAAAAGAAGACGGAGCTTCTTTGAGGAAGTGACACATTTCTGATAATAGGAAGTACATTCAACATTTCTCTTTGAGAGGCAGCCGGTCTAGAGACTTACACGAATACAAGAGACACGATGGACGAGTTCAAACGGATTCAAAAGTCTTCACTTCTCATTCTGCTGCTTCAGTTTACAGGTAAGGATTCCTACAACATGTATTTATTTAGAAACGTTAAAAAAGGTAATTTAGTCATCATGAATGTTACTTTATTACCTAACCTCCTTTTAACAAAGACAGAGAAGTGGTCAGTTTGTCTTCCAACGAGGGGAAGGCAACTTTTAGACACATAGGGAAACTTTTGTTGTGTCTCAAATGAACATTTTTATTTCTCTGTATTCTTTATATTTCTCTCTCTCGTTTATTCAGGGGCTGCAATTGGACAGCGTGACCTCTACCTCTCTGTCAGAGTTGGAGATGAAGCCACTTTGCCGTGTAACAATGTGTTTAATGATCAGGATCAATGTGAGAGTACTACCTGGCTCTTAAGTTATTCAGGAAGCACAGCAGTCCTGGTTAGAGGTGGGCAGATTGGTGAAGAAGCTAGAGCTAAATCAGACAGACTGAGAGTTACAGAGAAATGTTCTCTGGTTATAAAGAAGGTCACAGAGGAGGATGCTGGTCCTTTCACCTGCAGACAGTTCAGATCAGGAGAACAACAAGGTTCAGACTCTCTGGTTCTTCTGTCTGTTGTTACCAGTGAGTATTTCCATCATAATGTTTCCAAACTTTCTCTGTAGAGCAAAATACTAAAACATTACAATTATTATTATTACAGTGGTGAAGTTAATTATTATCTTTCTCTCACATATCTCCATCTTCAGTGACTGAGCATCAGAACAACGATGAGGTGACGTTACTCTGCTCTGTGACGACACGTGTTAGTTGTAGACACAAAGTGAAGTGGCTGCTTCAGGGTCGAGATGTGGATGAAGACAACAAGGATATAAAGACATCAGCGTCTGACTGCAATGCTTCTGTGACATTTCAGACTTCTCATTATGGTTCCACACAAAGGTCTGAGTTGTTTACTTGCTCAGTAACAGCTGATGATGGCAACGTGCAGACCTTCAGCTTTCAGTCCTCAGGTGAGAAATGTTTTTATCAGACTGTTTAAAGTCACTTTAAAGTGGTGTGACAAATTACATAAAAAGGGTGTTTATCTGATTTAATTAAGTTTAAACATTACGTCACAATATAAGGTAAACATATAACTTCTGAAGAGTTGTGTTCATCTTGTTCAGATGGGGACAAACAAGCAGCAACAACATCATCAACAACAACAGCAGCAGTTACATCAAGTCCCACCATCAAGAACTCAGGTAAAAACTAGACAGTATCAGCAACCTTAAACACATACAGTTTATGGTACCTCAAATATTTCGTATTGTTTCGATGCTTCACATCTCCTCTTTGAGCTGCGGTTGAAATCTCTGGAGAGAATTATTATTTGGTCCTTTAAATAAGTCTTTCTGGTTTATTCTGTCAAACTCGTTGCAGATGACGTGTTTTTTTGGATGCAGTTTTTGTACCAAAAGTAACACGTTCTTGTTTTAGCACCTACATGTAATGTAAGTATCTCCGCTTTTAACCTCATCTCTGAAGGTTCAGCTAAACTACAAGAGTCTCAGCATCTGTGCGTTATCTGTCTCTAGAATCTCTTTGTCTTCTGTCCCCCATACACATGGAACACATAAAGAAAACGTTTAATCAACTCACTTTCTAAAACAAAACCTTTCAGTAAAGTTCAAAGCAAAACATTTAAAGAGATGTAGTAAATTATTATTGGTTTATATATATGAAGATTGCTTAAATCTTTATCTTAAATCAAAGACTATTCTGGTTTGTTTTAAAATGTTTTTTTTTCTTCTTAATGATATACATTTTGTTAAGAAATAAAATCACGTATTTGCACTGATTGGTATTCAAAGTGATTACATGTATATACATTTCAAAACATCTCCGTTTCTATTAAAAAAAAGTAAATGTACAAAATATATATATATCTGTAAAACATAATATTCTCTCTCCAGGTCTCTTGAGGCTCGTCCTCGTGTCTGTGGGTTTAGCCGCTCTCATAATGATTGTCGTGGCGGTCAACATATGGACGAGAGCTAAAGGTGAGAACATTCACAGATTAAACTTAAACGCTTTTTGGAATTGTGGAAAGTAAAGTCGACTTTCTCTTCTTTCTTCTCAGAGAAGCAAACACAGATGGATGAAATCAATGTGAGTTTTTACATCAAATACTGAACTGTTTTGACTCTCTCTTCGTCAGTGGCGTGCACAGACATTTATAGGGGCAGGTGCTCGAGAAAAAAAAAGGGCACCTTCTGAGTCGTCGTGGCGGTCGCGCCGAAATTGTGCGCTCCGAAATTGTGCGCTCCGAAATTGTGCGCTCCGAAATTGTGCGCAAAAATTTGCCGGATAATGGCGGATTTTGTTAGTTTCTTTTCGGTTTTTGGTTACTTTATTTCGGTTTTAGGGTTAGGTTAGGGTTATGTTATTTAAATCTTATTTTTGCCTGATTTTACTGATTTATTATCAAAAAATTAATTATTTTAACATTTATTTTTATTATTCTAAATGACTTAGGGGGGTCCAATCTGAAGCTAAGGGGGGGACGAAATCCCCCCTCCCCCCGGGATTGACGCCCCTGGTGGAACCGCCGGCTGCTTTAGTAGTGTGAGATTTATTAAAGGCACATCTTGTATGTCGTAATTGCATATATATTTATTTCAATAACCATATGCTGTCTGATGCAGATGCCTATCTAAAACAAATCAAATAGTAGGCTTACTAGCTTCTACACGCTAAAGCAACTGTAGTCAGGGATGCAAACTCATCAGGTATGAAAAAGGTGACAAGGATCCGAGCCCCCCGACCCCACAGAATATCGGCTTTAAAATTAGGAATAACAGAGGATTTTAGCAGTCAGAACAACTAAAGCAGCAGGTAATAATAACAGAAACGCCAAAGAGTTACATCTAATAGAAATATATAAAAGCATTTATTTTAATTGTGTAGCAGTCAGTTTATAATTTTGGCAGCACTGTTGAGCATTTTCAAAATGTATTTTCATGCCTCTTAGTATTTTTACAATACTTTTCTACTTTCACTTGAGGAACATTTTGAATGCAGGACTTTTACTGTAACAGAGTATTCCTACACTCTGGTACTTCTACTTTTACTCAAGTACAAGATCTGAGTACTTCTACTTTTACTCAAGTACAAGATCTGAGTACTTCTACTTTTATTAAGTACAAGATCTGAGTACTTCTACTTTTACTCTAGTAGCCTACAATCTCTATACTTATACCACCTCTGTTTATAGCCTATGAAAAAAACTATTAGAAAACGAAGGCTAAAGCTAACGTTAGCAGATAGTGACAATGATATTGCGACAGAAAAACTTTTCAGTTCACATCACGCAGGCAAGAAGACTCGAGCACACAGCTCGCGCTTCATATATTAAAAAATAACACCATGCGTGTCATGATGGCACATAACAGCTCGCGACCGCAGATTATTTCGGCGATTAGATCAAATGTAAATTATATTTGACGCAACTTTAGTTACATTTCCATGACTTTTTCAAAACTTTGGGGAAAATATTGTTTTCCATAACTTTTCCAGGGCCTGGAATTTGCATTTTGAATTTCCATGACTTTTCCAGGTTTTCAATGACCGTACGAACCCTGTATAGTTTAGTTTGGCATCTGATTTAGGGGATTAAACAATACACTCGTTGTATTTGTTACCTGGTGGTTACTTGGTCGTCACTAGGGCACTTTTAATCGTGTTGCTGGGTGCTACTGCACCACACACCCGCCGTGGCCTGTCTGACTGACTGACTGTCAGCTCTCACTTTGAGAGCAGGGAAGGGAGGGGCTGCAGCCAGAGCACGTACGGGAGTGCCGCGGGGCACGTGTGGGGATGTCTGACAAAATTACAACGCGCATTTGGGGCATTGTTGTATATATTAGAAGCTTTTAATCCAGAATTGATCGATGTTACCATGAGCCACATACTCAAGTACACTGTAAAAAAAAAAAAACTGTAAAAAACGAACTTTCAAAAGGGCACATTGCTGTCCAGAGGGCAAAACGGGCAGGTGCTCAAGCACTACCTAGAGTCTATGTGTGCACGTCTCTGCTCTTCGTTATGAACTGATAAACACAGACACAAAGTGCAGAGAGACCTAGATCTGAATCAACACCTCTTTGAACCTGTCAGTAACAACTGAACATGATGAGTTCAGACTAAAGGACTGATTCCCCTGAATTACATCAGAGGATTTCCCCACCTTCACACTAGTGGCTTTTAGCAATGCTAATAGTTCTGTTGTTTTAGAAAACAATGTGTTTGTTACTGTGAATAACGTGCAGGATCAAATCTAGTTTCAAAGCAAACTGTGCAGAAGTCAGAAGATTAAATCAGATCAGACGGGAACTGATGGTGCGTTCAGGGTCTGCTGACTCAACTGTGAACTGTGTTTTACTTTGAAATCCTTTGTAACCAACTCAGTGTTGTTGTTGTTGTTGTTGTTGTTGTTGTTGTTGTTGTTGTTGTTGTTGCTGTTGTTGTTGTTGTTGTTGTTTTCCTCAGGTGCGTTATGATGTAGATGATGGTACAGTGAACTATGAAAACATCAGACCTCCTGATGGAGTTTGAGCAACACTTCTGCCTCCATCAGACTCCACTGATCAACAACGTCTACATCTATCATCAGGAGTGGAAGATTATACACTCATTCTGAATGACATATTATTTCACTTTAGTCTTGATCTAATAAACCACTGGGTGTCACTGTAAACAGCTTTTAACTCTTGTTTCCTTCCTTATATTGTCTTCATGCTGAAGGTTCAGAGCTGATTTCAAGATGTACTGACTGTTTTTGAACGACAGCTTGAGCTCATTTTAATATCTCTGTGTTCAGAATTATTACTTTAATCCACTTTCATTGAGCTTTGCTTTGTGTTTTGATGTTCATGTGATTTAATGGATTTTCAGTAGGGATGCCCGATAATTATCGGTCCGATATTAGGAATTATGACGTCATCCCGATAAACCCGATACCAGTATTAATAGCCCCGATAATATACAATATATTTTTTAGGTAAAAAAAAGAAAGAATACTGCGGTGTGGGTGGATTGGGATGAGGGGCGCTTGTTTTTCACTCGGCTCCTCCCGTTTTGCCAGTACTGTGGTATTAGTGGTTTAGGAAGAGGGGAGTTCTTCACAAATCCAGCGCTCCCTAACTCGTGCCTGGCTGTGACGTAAATGGTGTGCGGCCGTGAAGCCAGGACAGTAAACAAACATGTCGTCGGTGGTATGGGCGTTGGAGCTATGTGCAACTCAAGGCATATGCTCGAACGGGAGCTGCCTGGACGCTGCAATCATGTTGCGCACTATCCGTGCTGAGTATGCTGACTTCTCGTACAATGTCCCACTGTCTGGCTTCCTGCATAAAGTCAAGTGCTCGGCGCAGTTGTGGCGAAATGTCGCTCCTCTGTTTTCATTTAAACAGCTCCTTATATCCGTTAGCTCAGCTAGCTAGCACCAGATGCTAACAACAACAATGCACGTAAGGTCTCTCTCTCGCTCGCTCGGGCCACACAGCACACACCCTCCCGGTCCTCCAGATGGCCAGTCGGTGCCTGCCGGTGAGCGTGGAAGTGTGGTCTGCCACAAGCGGGCGGCAGGAGCGGGGCTGTCAGCATCAGCTTGTAGATGGTATTTTAAACTCGATGCGCTCTGAAACTACGGGGCGGCCGAGGACAAAAAATACACATGCGTTAATCGCGTTAAAATAATTAGTTGCGTAATTGTTTTTGTATTATCGGTATCGGTTTCAAAAAACCAATATCGTGCATCCCTAATTTTCAGCCTTAATGTAGAAAGTAAGTTTTCTCTTTGTTATATCTGTTGACATTAGAATCTGAAAATAAAAAAAGAACCAACAATTGTGTTTGACTATTTTTGAAAATAGTCTAAAGTCACTTTGAGAAGTTGACATCACACTTATGAGAGGAAGTAGACGCATCACTTCTCAGCTAACTCACTATTTCATCAACTTTTCATCAGAACAAGAGATAGAGGAAGCAGAGAGAAGTTTCTATTATCTTCCAGCTGAAAGTCTCAGAGCTTTTTGAAGATGTACTGATTGCTATTAGAGCTAAAGCAGCTTGAGCTCATTTGAATATATATGTGTATAAAAACATTATTTTAATCCACTTTCATTTAGCTTAGCTGTTAACATGTGTTTTGATGTCCATGTGATTGAACGGGTTTTCAGCCTTAATGTAGAAAGTACAATTTATCTTTGTTATTCCTGATGCAACAATACAATCTGCACATAAATACATGTTAATCTTAATTCTACACTGTGTTCTGTGGTTCCTACTAACAGTGTCTTGATCATGACGTTGCTCTTTGTACTTCCTGTTTTATTTTGTAAAAACACTGTCCTTTGGTAATCTCTGATGTCACTTCCTGTCTTTGTGTTTTCCCGCCTTTTTGTGATTGTTGGATATTTAATCTACAGCAATGCATCATATTATATACAATCATCATGTTAGCTTTGTCCTTTGACAACCATGTACTGTATCTCTAAACAGTCAAGTTTTCATGAGTTTAAAACAAAGACGAATCACCAATAAGGAGATACGTGGTTTCCACTGGACAGGAAGGAGATGTGATTTATAATCTGGAAGTGAATTACTATTACCTTTTAATGTTGTCCATCCATCCATCCTTCTTCTCCGGCTTATCCGTGGTCGGGTCGCTTTAATGTTGTAATTTACAAAATATTCTTGTTATCATTGCTCCGCTGGTAAAAAACAAACGATATAGTTGCTTGAAATGTGCTTATATGGTTGTGTTTTTTATATGAATGTTATTAAAGTAAACCCACAGGAAGTGACATGCGCTCATCCTGACTGAGTCTCTGCTTTGAGGAGAACTAACAAAAAAAGTAGAAGAGAAAAGAAGACGGAGCTTCTTTGAGGAAGTGGCACATTTCTGATAATAGGAAGTACATTCAACATTTCTCTTTGAGAGGCAGCCGGTCTAGAGACTTACACGAATACAAGAGACACGATGGACGAGTTCAAACGGATTCAAAAGTCTTCACTTCTCATTCTGCTGCTTCAGTTTACAGGTAAGGATTCCTACAACATGTATTTATTTAGAAACGTTAAAAAAGGTAATTTAGTCATCATGAATGTTACTTTATTACCTAACCTCCTTTTAACAAAGACAGAGAAGTGGTCTGTTTGTCTTCCAAAGAGGGGAAGGCAACTTTTAGACACATAGGGAAACTTTTGTTGTGTCTCAAATGAACATTTTTATTTCTCTGTATTCTTTATATTTCTCTCTCTCGTTTATTCAGGGGCTGCAATTGGACAGCAATTGGACAACCTCTACCTCTCTGTCAGAGCTGGAGATGAAGCCACTTTGCCGTGTAACAATGTCAGACATGATCAGGATAAATGTGGTGGTACTACCTGGTTCTTAAGTGATTCAAGAAGCACAGTAGTGCTGGTTGGACGTGGGCAGATTGGTAACCATGCTCAATCAGACAGACTGAGAGTTACGGATAATTGTTCTCTGGTTGTAAAGAAGGTCACAGAGGAGGATGCTGGTCAATACACCTGCAGACAGTACAAAGCTGATCAACAGCCAGGTTCAGACTCTCTGGTTCTTCTGTCTGTTGTTACCAGTGAGTATTTCCATCATAATGTTTCCAAACTTTCTCTGTAGAGCAAAATACTAAAACATTACAATTATTATTATTACAGTGGTGAAGTTAATTATTATCTTTCTCTCACATATCTCCATCTTCAGTGACTGAGCATCAGAACAACGATGAGGTGACGTTACTCTGCTCTGTGACGACACGTGTTAGTTGTAGACACAAAGTGAAGTGGCTGCTTCAGGGTCGAGATGTGGATAAAGACAACAAGGATATAAAGACATCAGCGTCTGACTGCAATGCTTCTGTGACATTTCAGACTTCTCATTATGGTTCCAGACAAAGGTCTGAGTTATTTACTTGCTCAGTAACAGCTGATGATGGCAACGTGCAGACCTTCAGGCCTCAGTCCTCAGGTGAGAAATGTTTTTATCAGATTGTTTAAAGTCACTTTAAAGTGGTGTGACAAATTACATAAAAAGGGTGTTTATCTGATTTAATTAAGTTTAAACATTACGTCACAATATAAGGTAAACATATAACTTCTGAAGAGTTGTGTTCATCTTTTTCAGATGAGGACAAACAAGCAGCAACAACATCAACAACAACAGCAGCAGTTACATCAAGTCCCACCATCAAGAACTCAGGTAAAAACTAGACAGTATCAGCAACCTTAAACACATACAGTTTATGGTACCTCAAATATTTCGTATTGTTTCGATGCTTCACATCTCCTCTTTGAGCTGCGGTTGAAATCTCTGGAGAGAATTATTATTTGGTCCTTTAAATAAGTCTTTCTGGTTTATTCTGTCAAACTCGTTGCAGATGACGTGTTTTTTTGGATGCAGTTTTTGTACCAAAAGTAACACGTTCTTTTTTTAGCACCTACATGTAATGTAAGTATCTCAGCTTTTAACCTCATCTCTGAAGGTTCAGCTGAACTACAAGAGTCTCAGCATCTGTGCGTTATCTGTCTCTAGAATCTCTTTGTCTTCTGTCCCCCATACACATGGAACACATAAAGAAAACGTTTAATCAACTCACTTTCTAAAACAAAACCTTTCAGTAAAGTTCAAAGCAAAACATTTAAAGAGATGTAGTAAATTATTATTGGTTTATATATATGAAGATTGCTTAAATATTTATCTTAAATCAAAGACTATTCTGGTTTGTTTTAAAATGTTTTTTTTTCTTCTTAATGATATACATTTTGTTAAGAAATAAAATCACGTATTTGCACTGATTGGTATTCAACGTGATTACATGTATATACATTTCAAAACATCTCCGTTTCTATTAAAAAAAAGTAAATGTACAAAATATATATATATCTGTAAAACATAATATTCTCTCTCCAGGTCACTTGAGGCTCGTCCTCGTGTCTGTGGGTTTAGCCGCTCTCATAATGATTGTCGTGGCGGTCAACATATGGACGAGAGCTAAAGGTGAGAACATTCACAGATTAAACTTAAACGCTTTTTTGAATTGTGGAAATAAAAGTCGACTTTCTCTTCTTTCTTCTCAGAGAAGCAAACACAGATGGATGAAATCAATGTGAGTTTTTACATCAAATACTGAACTGTTTTGACTCTCTCTTTGTCAGTGGCGTGCACAGACATTTATAGGGGCAGGTGCTCGAGAAAAAAAAAGGGCACCTTCTGAGTCGTCGTGGCGGTCGCGCCGAAATTGTGCGCTCCGAAATTGTGCGCTCCGAAATTGTGCGCAAAAATTTGCCGGATAATGGCGGATTTTGTTAGTTTCTTTTCGGTTTTTGGTTACTTTATTTCGGTTTTAGGGTTAGGTTAGGGTTATGTTATTTAAATCTTATTTTTGCCTGATTTTACTGATTTATTATCAAAAAATTAATTATTTTAACATTTATTTGTATTATTCTAAATGACTTAGGGGGGTCCAATCTGAAGCTAAGGGGGGGACGAAATCCCCCCTCCCCCCGGGATTGACGCCCCTGGTGGAACCGCCGGCTGCCTTAGTAGTGTGAGATTTATTAAAGGCACATCTTGTATGTCGTAATTGCATTTATATTTATTTCAATAACCATATGCTGTCTGAT